TCCAAAGACTCATTTCTCCGCGTGTAGCCGCAGAAGGAGAGGGAGGGCGGTGTTATATTTTTTTTCTGAAAGCTCTCACCAAGAGCTTTCGAAAATGGCCCCACAAGCCAGGATCGGTATCCTGTGGGATAAACTACAGGGGGAAGATTGTTTTTGGGTGTTTTTCCAGAGTGGAGTTACGATGTTTCGAAAATAAACGATTCATTTGAGGGGATTGATATTCGCATATCAATAATGACTCGAAGTCCTCGGTCGCGAATCGACTCATGTGTTGGGGAAAGTCTCCCAAGATGCCTGTCGGCCTGAATGAATCTTGAGGAGAACTCGAGCGGGAACTCACCCCGACTTCGGTTCGCCCTTGATTCATTCCTGTAATGATCCAGATTCAATGCCTCATTTTGTGGTGCGACTCGGCGAATTTGTGGAAGTCGGCGAATTCGATCGGACGAGCCAAGTCGTCTGCCTCGGCTCACGCATCCACTTATGGCGGGTGAGAGGATATCTCTCTTTGAAAATATTCAGTCAAGCAGTCGCCAAGGTCCAACGGATCAATTTTTCTAAATATTCGCTATCCATGGCTCAACAATGACATCAGCGCAGAATTTGGGCGAATGGGAAACGAGTCCTTTTGCTGTCGTCTAGAACCGAGAATTGAGAGGGGCTTAATTGAGGAACGCTCGCCATCCAGCACCCTGACAGAGTTCAATGAGTGGCTGAATCGATAGCGCGGAGAAAAATCCTCCCGGAGCGTATCTCCGGGGATTGATAGTATGAAATCAAATCGGATTCTGGTGCTTCTCACGGTAGTCACGTGCTCATTCCCGTCAGATGCATCCTCCGAAGCGACGCCGACGAATACTCCGCTTCACGGAAAGATCGCGACTTCTGGATCACAACTCCTGACTCCCGATCCGTTTTGTCCCGGTGAGTTTGGGTGCTCGGAGGAGGGCGTGAAGAGGCCTTTTCGAGATGATCAAAGTTCCACCACAGTCGGAATTCCAGGGGAAGCGATCCCTGCGATAATGCTAGAGATCCAGAGCTCCAGTTCAATAGTCCATCAAATTCTAGCCGGAGAGGAGTACGGCGATCTGAACCAGGAGTCCTCGAAACTGTTCTCCGCCTTCAGTTCCAATTCGACGCTGAAGTGCTTCAACTGCAAATTGAGCGGTGACCCAACGCGAGCCTACTGCAGGAATGCGAGTGAGCCTGTCCGTCGGAGCCGCCTCGATGCGAGCCGAACTGTTTATTTGAGATCAAATCGGACTGTAGAATATCCGATTCTCGAGTATAGTGCCGTGATCTCCGGGGAAATCCGCACTGATTCGTCTTGAATCTCCGCAGATGTGAACACAAGCGCCTCTGAGCCTGCTTGGGTTTGTTCAGCAGATTTCTCGGAACAGAATGTTGCGACACACAAGTTCCAGCTCGACTGCGAATTCTACCGGAAATCGAAGACATGCTATAAATTAGGTTCGACGAAAACTTGCCCATTTCGATACCTACCGCTAGTTGCTGGCAAAATTCTCAGCCGGGATGTACCTCACTGATCAGCCGTTTCTCTACAGGAACCTGCAAGCTGTCCATCACAGAGGAGGCTATCGCGAACATGAGTGAGGAACTTGCATTCATTATCGTCGGCTCGCTCGTAGGCCTCGTCTTGCTTCTGCTCGCAGTCAGATATGTCACGCGGAAAACGCAGCAATCAAGAACGCGAAGGAGAGGTTGGCCGTACAATTATCCTATGCGTCGCGAGGCATCAACCGATCTGTACTCGAGAAGCTTCGAGAGCGCCCGTTCTCCCGATGCGCATCGAGATTTCACTTTCATCATCAGCGAACCTCCACCAGACAATCCACCACTCCACAGCGCGAGTCTTCCCCCTCGTCCCAAAAAGCAGATCATTAAAACTTCTCTGTGAGATTCTGGAGGAAAATCGAATTTTCGAGGGTAGCTCGAGTTTCGTGTTCATCTCGGCAAACGTATACGTATTTCGGCTTCTCATTCCTTCACTTAATTAGCCAGGCCAGCAAACCCTCATGCTCGAGCAAAATTTCAATCGCCGCGCTGCCTTGAAGCTCAATCATGTGGCGCCGGAGCTCCGCTTCCACGATCGTCAAATCAAGCATGTAGGGCAGGTGCATCCAGGGAGGGATGAGCAGTTCCCGTCGTTGAATTCCTCATGGGAGTCCTCGATCATCGATTAATGACATAATCGGATATTACCCGCGCAGTTCCGTGACTTTGCATTCCTTCGACCTAGTGAGGTGGTTGAAAATGTCCAGGTACATTATCTCTACTGAGCTCCAGAAGTCGAGAAGTTTCATGGAGCCCATGATTGTCGTCGTCGCATCCAGCGGGGCCGAATTTCCACCCAGGAGTTGTTGTTCAATGTTTCGAGTCCGTCGAAAACATCAGCATGGTAACCAACAAAAGCCTTGCCGTCGATTGAGCAGAGGATGACCATCCTACCCACTCCCTTCGAGAACTGGGACGATTCAGCGTGCAACTTCATGAATCGACGCGAGCGATCAGCTTTCGAAAGCCATCCGACGTCTGCACGAGGCAACAGTCTCACATGATCAGCGTCGGAGTCCGTGCATGACCGCTCGGGCAGGAATTCAGATTCCGCTTTGGTCTTCATGGAGTTCACGCATTTTATTACAGCTTCCATGATTTCAGCAAATACAGGGGGAAGATCCTTCGCTGCTCGGTTCTCTCGGTGAATCACGCCAGTATTTTCAGCAGTCCAGGATTCTGATCTTCCATCCGTTTTCCATCAGCCTCTCTGCTTTCCCATCATCGCCAGCGCTCCATCGGCGGTGCAGGACTCGATACTTCTCCTGCCGAGAGGTAGCCTTCGAGAATCACAAAGATAACTCGGTCAGTGGTCGTTCTCTCGAGAGCCCTGCAGAGGAGCATGTCCTCGGGTACTGCACCATGATCCATGAACCTCACGGAGGCCATGAGGAGCGATTCACTGTCGACCAACTAGTTTTCGACATCGGTGCCCATGCGATTGATCCTCCCGCGCACAGCTCAGTTCCTCAGTGGTACTTACCTTTCTCATATCCGTATCGTCCTTCTGGAGGACAATCTGTTTGCATTTGGAGACCGCAGGCTCCTCCGAAACTTGTCCATTGAAATGACTCCTCCCAGCTTCTGCCGTAAGCAGTAGCGTATCCACCTCGGGGCTATATGGCGTAATAGCCTCCCCGCTCAGGACATTGCCCCATACAGAACAGAAATCAGCCCCCCCCACCTCAGGAAAAATTCTGGGTACGCCCCTGACCCTAAGCAACCAGATCTCATGATCAACTTCTCGGAATCGGTACCACGAAGCGTTCGACAAGAAATACATGGCGCTTATACTTGATCGCAGCTCTATCCACACATCAGCGATCGGAAATAGGCACGATCGATCCTTCGAGGCCGAACTGCGGTGAGCCTTTCGAGGTGTCCTTCCGACTGGCTCCTTCTTATGGTCTTATTCTAGGACCTTCTGTGGCAAATTAAGCGGGAAGGTGCATATTGATCGTGCTCGGCGGGGATGAACCCCGGATGAAGACCATTCCGATATGTTTATTTCCATCGAGTGGATCACACTCGAACCGCTCGGAGATTGGAAGATCGAACGCTGAGCTCGACTCCTTCGCCCGTGGGTTTCCCTTTTGTTTTTCCCTTGCTCCATTCAACAGTCAGGATTCGATCTACTTACGAGGATCGCCGACTTGGCGCTAGACAAGATTCAGTTGGAGCCCGCACTTCTGGATAACGTGCTTGCGCTCCTCCTTGGAGATCCGCTGAGCTTGGGAGGCTCAAAAGATCAAGGATCACACCGGTCCCAGGGCTTCCCTTCGATCCCTCTCGACGGCTCGTAGGGGTCAAAGCGATTACTCACCACTGTGCGTTCCGCTTCCTCGGGAGAACAAGATGATAATTATTGTCATGCTTTCGGTGCTGATAATTCCATTTGGACGATCGGTGTCCGCGCCGAACCTATTAAGCATGTCAGACGACCCCGCGGCGGCCTATCGACGTGCACTGAACGGATATAATAATAAGTGTGCGGGTGAGTACGCTCCTGTGATCGCGGCGGGAGCGAATGAATCGCGAGCGCTGCATCTTGATTGTCTGCTCCAATGACTTCCGCATTCGATGGTTTACCATTAATGTTTCGCCTCTTTCCAGCGGGGTACTTCGATCTGAGTGTGCAGCCAAGGCTGGAATTCTTTGCGCATAAGAATACCACCCGGCGTTCTCGACTTGAGAATGAGCTACAATGCGATGGCTGCAGGGGAAGTGGCCTCCCTTCCCACGTCAATTGTACAAACTCCAGTGAGTTTTGGTGACGTTCAGGAACTGATCGAAGCAAGACGAACTTTCTTCAAGAATCGTGATCTCCGGTAACTAACCCTCAATACTCGGCTCGCCCTGAGATCAGATACTGACGGACACCAAACGCACGCTTGGTCGTGTGTGGGGACTTTTTCGGATCCGGCTTTCGTCGTGTCCTCGGATTTCGAAATCGACTGCGAGAGTGACGACACCCTGCGTGACGATTGCGTCAAAGCAGGTACTTGAAATTTGTAGCCTTCAGATCGTTTCTGGTGATGACGTTCAAATTATTTATTTCATCGTAAACCGAAGCGATTACCACCAGCGCATAGTTCTTGACGAATTCTACTTTCAATGTGGAGAGCCCGGGTGCGACAAATCACCTTCCTTCACACGAGTCCCGCTTGAGGTACCTCGCGTGAAGAGAGCTGTCCGTGGAAAGAAAGCCGCGACGAACTATATTTTCACGAGAATTTCATCTACGAATTTCGCGAATCCACGAATGATGGCTGGTTCATTGATGCCCCACGAAGTTGGAAGGTTCATCTCACGTGGGGTTTGTCGTGAATGAATTTTATCACTCAAAGGATCGATTGTAGAGTTCGCAAAACCGGCAACACGCTTCATGATTTTTCGATTTTTCCGAATTGAACTTTCGAATGCTCGATTCATAGTGTGAACGCAGCACGTCCGTGATCGCCGACACTCCTGCTTCCCGCATCCATCACAGGCCAGCGTCTGCGCTCTATCTGGAATCGTGAGATGAGCAGCCCCATTAATTCATCCTCCACGACAATAATTCCTATCCGTATCCGGTTCCAGGTTCCTGCGTGCTGAGATTCCACACTGAGCGCCGATATGCGGGAGTAGATTGGCTCTTACTCTTCCTCGTCTCCCATGTCCTTGTGATTCTCCTCGTCGTCGTGGCCCTCAGGGCACGAAAAAAAATGATGTCGATGCGGGCCGAGCGGAGGGCCACTGACCATCACGAAAGTTGCATCGATATCATAGAAGAACGACGTCGCGGTAGGGAAGAGGCGAGACGACTCCGGGAGCTGCCCCAAACCGCTGGTGCCGACTCGCAAGATTGCCAAGCAGAATCGCGGACATTGATCGCCATGAAAGCTCTCGCATCTGAATAGCGAGAGCTCGGTAATATCGAGAGAATCTCACTCACGAGTTGAGCAAAAACTCTCCGAAACGGGCGATACGAGTACCTAGATAAGCCCTCGGTGCTCACAGGTGCGGAGAGCTTTCTCTTCCGACCAACCTGTCAATGAAGCCCCTGGAAAGCCCGAGAAATCTTCTGAAGTCGACCTTCTGAACTCTCGACGGCCGTCTGAAACCCTGGAGTGGAAAGTCGCGTCCGAAACGAGGCCAGGTTCTGAGGCACCTGATGGATGAGGAACCCTCATTGGAGAGAGGACAATCAAAATTACGGCCGCTATCCTGCCGGAGAGGGGGAGTTCGAGGCTCCATGAGGATTTGCGAAATACAACGAATATTTGTAGGTAGAATATAACTGTAATATAATTGATCCGGCGATCGTTCCTGAAGTACGGTTGGGGAAAAAATGATCTTCTGTGTCGAATAAATGAATTACCTATCCTCAACTTGACAAAATGTCTGTTTGTGTAGGTCGACGCCGCTCCTCGCACTGAGGCTGCGATCTCTCGTCACCCTCCGGGGGAGCAAGCGTCTTTCTCCGAGACTCTTGGCCCCGAGAACAGCTAGCCCCTGATAAGAGCCGCTGCATGCGTTCATTCGGCCTCGAATAGAGCCGGAAACGTTCTCAGGTTTCTCCCACGGGCTTCTCGGATTTCACCGGCTGTCCGCGGCTCATGAAGGCGCCGTTCCGGGAAATACCGAATCCCTCTCCCGGGAGACCGGCTGGAAGCTTCTCACTCCGTCTGAGGCGTCGAGCTTTCATCTGTTCCGACTTATTGCTTCAGACACCCCATGCTACAGACGTTCTTCCACTATATCTCTTTTTTCTCACCATTCTAATCACACTAATCACCCAGGGACTCCTCCACCGAGGAGAGATCTGTCAATTGCTTGAGCGCACTCATTTGTTCTAAAGGAGCATTCGAATACGGAATGAGGCGACCCAGGAGAGTCGAACTGTCCCCCATGGACAAGCTCCATGTATCTATCATTGATATGACAGGCATATGTCCGAGCCGAGGCTTGCATTGTGCGCGTGTATTCGCCTCCAGCACTCGATCTCGTCACCTCGGTAGGTGACAGCTGTCGGGCCCGTAGCCCACCGACTCAGCCGCCCTTCCTTCACCAGCTGGGTATGTCCTCTCCCGCTAGGGGTCGCCGTGCACAGGAGTAAAGCACGACTCTTAGTTGGAGCGTCCGACAGCCGAGTACCTCGATACTAACTTGTGGAGCGCAGCCTGCCCATTGTTTCTCGAGCTCTACCAGCAACTCGGGCTTTTCTTCCCGCCCCGAGTGCCCAAATATTTCCCCCGGTGGGGGACCTGGACTCGATGACCGATTAAACGTAGGTCCCAGGACCCGCCATCAAGGATATATCGAGCCTTCCATCAGCTGTCGGAGCGGTGGGAGGATGCTCAAGCTTCCCCAAGAGGTAGGAATCATTTTTCTATCCTGATTCACGGACGAAAAGCTAGTATGCACTCGCCCTGACGTTGGGAACCCCTGATAAGAGGAAGGATGCTCAGGAATGACCGAATTCAATTCCAGCTTCAAGAGCAGATCTTGCTGAGGATCCACCCCGTAGATCGTCTCAGAACTGCTCTCGTCTGTCGCAGGTTCGCAGAGCTTGTGACTTCGCCAAAACTTCTAGCAGACGTTGGGTTTAGTATCCGAGGTACAGAAAAGACGGCAGCAACCGCATCTATAGTTCAGAATCAACGAAAATTGGGGAGTGCCAAGTTCACCGAAGGTGGGGAAAGTGCAATCGATTCTTCGTGGGGTATCCCGGAGGTCTCAGTCGATAGCGATGAATTTCCATTGAAACTCGGCCGCAAACCCGTGAGAAACGTCCGTGAAAATTTCCGCAGTCTCAATGGATATCTCTGATTCCCAGTAAATCTACTCGAGTTCGACTCGAAACTGTGGACCAGACTCGGCGAAGACCTCTGTAATTTGAAACTCATCAGATGTGACTTATCGTCCCGTGTTTTCGTTCGCATCATCCGTCAATGTCCCAATCTTCAATGTATTGAGCTGTCATTGAAAGGTTGGTGATGTGGGTGTCTTCGCAACTGCTCTCTCGTGCCAGCTGTGAATGAGCTGAATTTTTGGTGGCCGTTGTTGTCTGATGGCTCCTCTTGTTCCAGGGGACTGGTGGCAGAGCATCATATACGAGCTCCCGGAGAACATCAGTCTTCGAGAAATCCGTCAATATGCTTCCAACATCCGACATGTCTCTCTCGAACCAATCGCTTACGAGATGCCCCTTCGTAGCTTGCTCAATTTGATGCCTAATCTGAAATCATTATCCCTGAGGAGGGATCCTATCTCCCTAGCTAGTGACCGCCAACTTCGGAGTCTGCTGAAAAGCCTCCTCGCTGCAAAGCAGAAGTTCTCGAGGCTAGCTCTCGACTTGTGGTGCAACGACGCGAGCGTTATCAGGCTCGTTCAGAAGTTTTCGCCATGTCTCCGGGAGCTGAGATTGACCAATTGTGGTGATCTCTCGGACGAAGCTTTCAGGGCGATCTGCTCCTGTACTAAGTTGAAGAGTCTGTTCCTCGCTCCCGCTAAGAAATTCGATGATAATCATCTACAGGAGCTCCTATTGCGTGCCCGAAACTTGAAATCCTTGTACCTGATCGATGCTAATATCTCCTATGAGTCGTCGAGGGAATTGCATGAGCTTGAAAGACTTCGGCGTATTTTCCTCAGATCAAAACGGCTAAAAGTCGGTATTGTGAGACGCATTTCGAAATTTAAGCATTCCGACGCCGTGTGGCTCGGTTCAGTTCTCCACGGAATCCGAGACAGTACAAGTCTCAGAAATCTTCGAACCTTGAAGCTGACCGACGCAGTTTCTCCTAGAAGCTTCGCCTGCATCGTTGAGAATTTCGTTGAGCTCGAAGAGCTCGCAATCAATTGTCGCAAGCTGCTGGATAAAGATGGAGTCAAATAACGTCGTTTCAAGAACCTCAAATCATTGAAACTCAGCCAAGCGATGGGACTCACAGACCTCACATTCAAAAGGGGTTTCGGATGTCCTCAGATGGAGAGATTAGATATTTATTCTTGTGGAGTGACCGATATTGGACTCTTCGCTGCAGGGGCCCATCACGAACGTTTGAAGGTTATTCGAATCCATGACTGTCCCCTAGTATCTCGCCTTGGAATAAGGTTCCTGATTCTCAACGAGCCTGTCCTAGAAACTCTGAGGCTCTACCCGTACACACTGGACGAAGTTGAAAGCATATTCGAAGGAATTCTTTCATGTCACGTATGTGTGCAGAATGGAACAGTTATGGCGAAATTCCAAGATGACGGCGGTATCCGAGACGGTCGCACTGTATGTGATATCATGTGAATAAAGGTATGGCCTGTACATTCGAAGCATTCTTTTTTATCCGTCAATTGTGGAGGGAGTTGGGCGACGTGCATGAAACCGGAGTGTGTTTCGTCTTGAACCACCTGTGTACAGAATCTACCTCGCTCCATTATTCTTAATAAGAGTGCATCTCGGATCCGAATCTTGTGAGTCAGGTAATTCACGAGCTCACCGGTTACGTTCCCCCTCCCCTTTGGGGGATGATGTGAGAGATTTCCAATAGCAGCTCATATCGCCATCGAGCAATAAACCCTTCCGCCTGGGAAAACTTCCTCCATGCGGACGAGGTTTGGGGGCAGAATCGACAAACATTCGAAGAGCACGACGTGATTGCTGGTTCGCAATCATGCCGTGAAACTGAATAATTCTCATGATTGCGTGATAACCGAGCGGGGTGAGACCATGCTTTGCTCATAGAGCAAATAAGCCGATATCAGTGCGATCCGCCTAATGAAACTTCTCAAGCGCCTCGGAGCCGTTCCCGGAAATCGTTGCCAGTTCCAGCATCGATGAGAGCTAAGACGCTGCATGAAAATGTCAGCGACGTGCTAATCATCACCCTTCGTCGGGCGGACACCACGAGCGACCTGCACGATATCGATTGCGTTTTGGAACGCGGTGGTCGAGCTTGTGTTTTGAATCATGCCGGAGAAACACGGGCTAGAAGTCCGATCTTGTGTCGGATGGCGAAAGATTTCATCCATTCAGTATGTTTGATACGATCGATGATCATGGTCACACTCGGATGGCCGGACCTGGGCCCGAAGGCCATGGATTACAAAAAGCACCCATGAATGCTTACGGAGAATATTGCTTCCCCGAACGCAGGAAAACTTGGCTGCTTTTCCCATCTGGTCCAGAATCTAAAAAAAAATTTAAGGCGGGCTTGGCTCTCAGCCAAACTTGGGTGTTTCGTCGAAGGACGTAATTTTTAGGTAAACTAGGAGCGGCGTTACGAAATGAGTCGGTTTGAAGGTTTGAATCATACTGATGAAAAATGTGAGCCGCTCCGAGCCTAGAAACGTTCTACGGAAGGTCGTAATATCTTTTCCTGTGGATGATGCATTCCGCGATTTTATTTTCTCGCGGAT